CTACATCACTAACGTGATCTTGTCTACAGTTATTTAAAAAAAATTATAACACACTAAGGAATAAGTAAAAAGGACTTTTGCAAATTGCACTTGTATATACTTTATAAAATTTACCCTTCATACTTACGAAATGAAGATGCTAAAAACTTTGAACAGGTTCTCCTCTCGGGCTCTCGACTATAGATAATGAACTATACGGTTATATCTATGCATACGAAATCATACCTGGAACATTGTATAATATTATACTGTCATTGATCATTATTATTACTATAATCGGGTCATCGGAATATGTTTTGCTATTTTTTTCACGCCGTCGAGATATCGAGACGAATAACATTTTTAATATTTCTCTAGAGGCGTATACAAATGCTTCGTAGCACAACCCATTGCTGCGTGACTGCAGTTTATCATATAATATATGTATATAAGTATTATATATAATAGTACACATTACGCGTATATAAAAAGCGCAATCGGATCCGATGCGAAATCGATTTTTGCCGTTTCGTCATATTTCATTARCCCGTGCTCGAATATGTATACGTATGAATGTATGTAATATTTATGTACTTAGGTATATATTATTATGCGTGTATGTTGTGTGATATTATATATAATATACTTTAGACGGATTATATTTCGATGATGTACCTCAACACACGAAAGCGGTTTTTTTTCGCCATCTGCAGCAGCCTGCAGGTACGTATATAAATAAGTGTGCTGCGGTCGGGAAAATATATGTATTTATGTTAACCGGGTACACATATATACACGTAATATATTTTATTATTACATCGTATATATAATTTCGCATATATACGCGTATATGTTATATATTTTCAATTTCCCCGCGGTATATATAGTCTCGCCAATTGGGATTGCGGGTGGTGGTCGTCGGAGCGGGGGATGGTAGAGATGAATGATGTAGGAATGCGCGGATTGATGGGAGGTGTGACGAGTTAGGGGAGGTATATAAGAAGACAGATGGTGGAGAAATATATTATTCCCATTCGATGCGATGATGATAATAATAATAATAAAAAAAAAACATTTTATTATCATACACACGTTTTTATATATWTTTTTTTTCAAATATCCCTTTAAGCCTATTTAGTGTTTACATTGACCGAACGTGGTCCGATAACGCCACGACACGAACCCGAAGCTCCGCGCAAGTGTGCGTATACTCTACTACGTATATATATATATATATATATATATATTTATATTAAATATATTTATATTAAATATATTATGTTATAATATTATTATATGA